AAAATTTAAAAAATAAAATTAAAAAAAAAAATTTTTTTTTTAAAAAAAAAAAAAAAAAAAAAAAAAAAAAAAGCTGAGGTGTACAAGTATTTGGGCAAATAATTAGGGGCCTTAGGCAGTTGCCTTAATGGCCTTTACCCTTAAGCCGGCCGGCATTGAAGTTAACGAACCTCAGAGAACGAACAAAACTGAAAAAACGGAACAACGTTAGAAACGGCACCAACGTAGAAAAAAGACAGCGAACACAATGATCTGAGAAAACGACATAAGATGAGGCAAGGGCAGTGCCCTCGAAAATTGACATCAAAGGGAAAGCAATACCATTCAGAAAACGACAGTAATACTTGAAATCGATATTATATGGTAATGAGGAGAACAGAGAACGACAAGATGATAGGGACAGCACTCAATTAGACTATGAAATTGAAAAACAAGATAAACATGAGGCAAAAAAAAAAGAAGAAAGAACACAACGAAACAAGCAAGCATTACATTGGAAAGCGACGCAATCTAGAAAACTACTTAAAGCTGGAGAAAATGACGAGATTAACCGTAAAAAACATCAACATCATCATCACAATCTTCTTTCTTTCTTTCTCTCTTTCTTTTATTTTCTTTTTATTTTCTTTTTTTGAAGTAGACGACAGTCTTTTTTCAAAACAGCAACACCATAAGAAGAGACGGATACTTTTGTTGTTCACACAGTTAATAATTTTTAATTGACGTGTCAGATTTCTATTTGTCCATAAATCTTGCGTGTTTGCTTTTTTTTGTGTAATTCACTTTTTCAAAAGAGAAATAGTAACCTCATTTTTTTTATTAATTTTTTGTCATCTGTTTCTCGTTTTATGTGTATTTTTTTACTGTAAAAAATTATAATTTAAAATTATAGATGAATATTGAAAATAAACGCAAACGTTACTGTCTCAATTTTCTGTCTTTAAATAGTAATATACCAAGTATCATTCTTAAGACGACAAGTCGTATAGAATAAGTAGATTATTTATTGTCTCATGGGCCACTTGCCCTGCAACGTGGACGGAGGAAATCAAAACCGAGAAATAGAGGGAGAGAGAGAGAGACGCATTAGCAGTGGCCAGTGGGTGGTTTTCATTTCATTTCCGTCAATCCAAATACAAATCAATCATAAACATAACCATGGACCCACCAACGGACCGACGGACGGTCCAGATGCTTTGGCGTTTCCCTTTCCGTTTTCCCGTTTCCGATCACACATAATAATATTCCCCCTATAAAAGGTTCGTTTGATTCTTTTCTTTGAGCAGCAGTAACTACTATTTCTAAAGTATAACCAGTTAAGTAATAATGGCTATGGAAGTGAGTGAGTGAGTGAGTGAGTGAGTGAGCGAGCGAGCGAGAGACACACCAAACAAAAATATATTAAGATGTTTAGTCTTGTTCGTGTACTGTCCTTTTCCACTTCTTCGCTTTCCTCACACAAGGTCTCTTCTTCTTCTTCAACAATTTCTTTAAATTGGGGAAAATCTTTGTATTTTTCCGTGTTTATCTGTCGTCTTTTTTTATTTTTTGGTATAATTATGTTTGTATTTGTGAATTGATAAATAGGGTGTGAGAAACGATCTGCAGATTGCGAAACAACAGCCACGAGTGGTGGTGAGGTTTGGATCCAGGCACCGCCATTTCCTATATTCATCCACAACTTCTATATGTGGGAAGGTATTTGTGTCTTCTTGGTTTCTTTTTTCTCTTTTTTTTTTTTTTCAAGGTTTCCTTAATTTATAAGTCTGTTTCTCTTTTGAAGTTAAAATTTCGAAGTAATGGAATCAAGAGCACGTTTATTTAATTGTAATGGGTTGAAATGAGAAAGAGAAGGGATTTGGAGTGTTTTGTTTGTTTAGGAAGTGGAATTGGGAACAATCCAATTCTTTCTACATTGTTTACGATTTTTTAGGAATATGATTCTGAATTGGTTGAGTACTAAAATGTATTTTTGCATATAATTATTGATCGAAATTTAGTATGAGGCTACAAAAAGGGATTTTTTGTGTTTTATAAGTCAAACTGAAACAAGGGTAACTGGGATTTTGACTTCCTCTTTCCTAGGGCTGTTCATAAACCCGAACAACCCGCAAACCCAACCCACCCCGCCCCAACCCAAGCCGAAAAAAGCAACCCGCAACATTATTTTTAAATTTGCGGCTCATTATACCTCTGGTCCGAAGTGTTTGGGGCGGATTGCGGGTTGGGCCCATAACAACCCGCAATCCCCAACCCAACCCGCACAATATACCCCCAAGCTTTCGGCCCAAGCCGAACTGCCCAAGTTCTCCCCTAGGCTCGCTAACATTAGGGTTCACAATCTCATTCTCGGTCTCCCTTCCCATGAACCCCCTCTTATTGCCTCTTCCTTTTCAGTTTTCCCTCTTCTTCCCCTCCCGTGAACCCCCTCATAACTCTCTCCTCATTGCTCAGTCCTCTCGGCCGCCGTCTTGCCCACTTTCTCCGGTGCTCTCTCGCCGGACTAATAAGGATGGTTACTATTTCTATTTAATGATGAAGTTTGAATATTATATTGAACTTTAAGTCTTTGATTTTTTGAATGTTGAAACCGACCACCCAACCCACCCCGCACCGCCCCAACCCAACCCGAACATCGTTGGGTTGTGAAAGTTTTCTAACATCGTTGGGGCCAAATATGTGCAACCCGCACCCTTTGGGGCGGGGAAAAAAAAGTCATACCCCGTACCAACCCAACCCATGAACTTTCCCTATCCCTTATGGCAAGTGGGCCCCATCAAATTAGTATTTCTAATCTTGTAAATGAACACATGAGTTGGTGGGAAAGGAAAGCACTCATCCCGTTTTCTTTCTCTATTCATGATAAGTTAAAGGAAATGGCTCGTTTCTTGCAATTTGAGTTGTGATCTGATTTGTTCTTGTGGTCAGGAGGAGAGTTGTTCGTATATGTCAGCAGTTTTAACAGATGATAACCTGATCGTAACAACCGCGGATGAAGAAATGGAACATATTGGCATCTTGAGCGTCGACCCGGGCTTGGAACCACATAAAGATCACTTCAAGTATAGAGTAAGGAGATATGCAGATCAGTTAAAGCTTTTTGAGGAACATGAAGGAGGGCTTGAGGAATTTGCAAAAGGTGATCTTTTAAGTTACTAGTGTCATTTTTCACTTTCATTTTTGGGAATATTTTGCATATGTGAATCTGAAAAATTTGGCATCCTCTATGCAGGTTATTTGAAATTTGGATTTAATAGAGTAGAAGGTGGCATTGTGTACCGTGAATGGGCCCCAGCAGCTCAGTAAGTTTTTATAGCTTTCAAACATCATTTTTTCTGTATCGCTAATAAAGGTAATGTGTTTGAATAGGGAAGCACAACTTATTGGTGACTTTAACGAATGGGATGGTTCCAACCACAAGATGGAGAAGAACCAATTTGGGGTTTGGAGTATCAAGATTCCTGATTCCGGTGGGAATCCAGGCATTCCTCACAATTCCCGAGTAAAGTTCCGGTTCAAGCATGGCGATGGAGTTTGGGTGGATCGCGTCCCTGCTTGGATCAGATATGCCACTGTGGACCCAACGAGTTTTGCAGCACCTTATGATGGTGTTTATTGGGATCCACCATCGTCAGAAAGGTGCTAGTAATATTCATACTTTTTCTTGTTTGAAGTTGGATCATTCAAAATATGAAATTTGTTTTGAATGTCAATGCTGTGAGGTTCCACAATTATGAAATGCAGAATTCTAAGAAACAAGTTGCATAGCCATAATCCATTAGTTAGAAATCTGTTTAACAGTTTACCATTTCTACCTGGTTTGTCTCAATTAAGAATCTTGTTTTGGTTGACCTTTTATGGTTTTATACTGATTCTTATAATTTTTTTTTCCTTCGAACCATGCAGGTATCACTTTAAGCATCCTCGTCCACCAAACCCTGTAGCCCCAAGAATATACGAGGCTCATGTTGGAATGAGTAGCTCAGAACCCAGTGTCAGTTCATATAGAGAATTCGCCGACAATGTGTTGCCTCGTATACGGGCAAACAACTATAACACAGTGCAGTTGATGGCCGTGATGGAGCATTCGTATTATGCATCTTTTGGCTATCATGTTACAAACTTTTTTGCTGTAAGCAGCAGATCTGGCACCCCGGAGGACCTAAAGTATTTGATAGATAAAGCACATAGCCTTGGTCTGCGGGTATTAATGGATGTTGTTCACAGCCATGCAAGTAACAATTTTACCGATGGCCTCAATGGCTTTGATGTTGGCCAAAGCTCACATGATTCCTACTTTCACACTGGAGAACGAGGCTACCATAAGTTGTGGGACAGCAGACTCTTTAATTATGCGAACTGGGAAGTTCTCCGCTTCCTTTTATCCAATCTGAGGTGGTGGATTGAGGAGTTTAAATTTGATGGATTTCGGTTTGATGGTGTTACTTCAATGTTGTATCATCATCATGGGATCAACATGGCGTTTACAGGAGACTACAATGAGTATTTTTGTGAGGTGACCGATGTTGATGCCGTTGTTTATTTGATGCTAGCAAATTGTCTCATTCACAACATCTTGCCAGACGCTACGGTAATTGCAGAAGATGTGTCTGGTATGCCTGTCCTTGGTCGGCCTGTATCTGAGGGGGCTGTTGGTTTTGACTACCGGTTGGCAATGGCCATCCCTGATAAGTGGATTGATTATTTGAAAAACAAGAATGATCAAGAGTGGTCAATGAATGAAATCTCAGGGACCTTGACAAATAGGAGATACAGCGAGAAGTGCATATCTTATGCCGAAAGTCATGACCAGGTATCAGGTTTTTAATGGCTTTTTTTTTTTTTTCAATCATGATTTCTCGTCAAAGAGACCTCATTATATCTTATACTTTTTTTCCCCTCTTTTTGCACTTGTCTATGCAGGCAATTGTGGGTGACAAGACTATTGCCTTTTTCTTGATGGACAAAGAGATGTATTCTGGCATGTCTTGTCTGACAGAAGCTTCTCCTACTATTGAGCGAGGGATAGCACTTCACAAAGTTTGTCTCTGTTAAATCATATTATGATTTTATTTGTTGATGAACTAGATGATTTATATAAATTGCTTGTCTTTTCTTTTCTATCTAGTCCTGTTCACCACACCTATCTTTGCCAATATTGAAAATTATTTAATTTTTGGTGGCTCTTGCAGATGATCACGATTCTTTGATAGGCCTTTTATCTTTCATTTTTCTGTTTGTTCTACTCATTTTGCTGTCCTTGTTTTCTTTTTCTCCCTGACAGATGATACATTTTATCACTATGGCATTAGGAGGTGAAGGCTATCTTAATTTCATGGGAAATGAAGTAAGCATTCTGGTTCATTTTTTTGCCTGTCAATCTTAAGTATCAACATTATTTTCATTGTGGTTGGACTTGGCCATATTCTGTTGAAGTCCCACTGGATGCTAATCATTCTTATTTATAGTTTGGCCATCCCGAGTGGGTTGACTTCCCAAGAGAAGGCAATGGGTGGAGTTATGAAAAGTGCAGACGCCAGTGGGACCTGGTGGATACGGAGCATCTGAGATATAAGGTTCAAATTACATTTATAAAATTAATTTTTGTAGTTTATTTTTTAACCATTTCTCTTTGGCTAGTACTCTGCGAGTAATGATGATTGAATTAAACATGCAGCATTTGCACCATATGATACGGTTAACTTTTGGACAATCCTAGATTGCGTAATGCATACATAATAATATGCCAACCAAGGTCGATATAGTAATTAACTCAATGTAGATTGATTCACAAGGCAGATGTGACTTGCTAATTTTCGTATTCACCTTATATGGCATTTTTCCTTACCGTTTGATGAACTTACTATTGCTATCATTAGTCATTACATGGCCTCTGCCATATGATATGGTTAACTTTTGAACAATCCTAGATTGCGTAATGCATACATAATAATAGGCCAACCAAGGTCGATATAGTAATTAACTCGATGTAGATTGATTCACAAGGCAGATGTGACTTGCTAATTTTCGTATTCACCTTTTATGGCCTTTTTCCTTACCGTTCGGTGAACTTACTCTCTTTCTTTTTCCTCTTTCCCCTCTTTTTGGAACTTGTCCAGTTTATGAATGCGTTTGACAGAGCTATGAATTTGCTTGATGAGAAATACCATTTCCTATCATCAACCAAACAAATAGTGAGCAGCGCAAATGAAGAAGACAAGGTAAGATGCACTTAGCAATCAATCATTCATTTTGCATAGCGATTCTAAACAAATTTCAGTTACTTTTCAAAAAATTAATTCCTGCAGCAAATCTCACAGGTTATCGTCTTTGAACGCGGAGATCTAGTTTTCGTGTTCAACTTCCATCCGGAAAACGCATATGATGGGTAAGCTTGCTTTTGTCAGAAACATCTTTGCTTGGCCCTTCATGTGACTTGAAACCTGAAATGTATAGGTACAAAGTTGGGTGTGACTTACCTGGGAAGTACAGAGTTGCGCTTGATAGTGATGCTCGGGAATTTGGTGGACATGGAAGGGTAAGGAAATCCTTTATACCCCATAATCATGCTTTCCATATCAATCAATATGGAACGAGATTGGCCGAGAAGAAGAATAGTAATGAAGAAGAAGACATTATGGTTTTAGTCTTAGTTTGGTGATAATTCCATCATACGTTTAATACTGAGGTTTAGATATCCCTTAATGATGTGTAGAATTTCAATTTGACAGGTGGGTCATAACATAGATCATTTCACATCCCCAGAGGGCATACCAGGAGTGCCTGAAACTAATTTTAACAACCGCCCCAACTCCTTCAAAGTACTCTCACCCTCTCGCACCTGTGTGGTATGTTTCTGCTTTATTCTTATTATTCTTTTTTTTTTTTCCCAATCGCTCCCTCTGTTATTTGTGATTCAATTGCAATTATACCAATACTAATCATCTCATGTGTTGAGCACCGTCTTTAGTTCTGGTTAGATATTGACAAACTAGACTGTTTTATTCTCTCTGAATTTGAGGTTTAGTTGATTGACATACGAGACTGAATTAGGCCCCGTTCACTTCGCTGATTCGAGTTTAGAATTCAAGTTTTTTTACAGTAAAAAGCTCTCACAAACAATCACATCTAACTTTTTTGCTACAGTAAAAAACTCTCACATAAAATCACATCTCAACTCGAATCAGCGAAGTAAACGGGGCCTTAGTCTCTATGACTTTGAAATTTCGTATGTGAATACATGGTTGGTTAAATAGGTGGTCAGTGCCGTACTAGTAGTGATAAATAAGCATTGCTTTGTATCACATTATGGACACCGAGTTTAGCATGTGATTTAATTATTATCCTTTCCTGTTTGTGATGAATATGCAAAGGTTTACTATAGAGTGGACGAAAGTAAAGAGACATTGGTGGCGGAGGATGTGGATGAGGACAACTTAGAGGAATTGGCTTCGGCGGAAAAGGACAATGCTGGTCCAACCGTGATTGTAAGCGGCCTAAAAGAAGAAGAAGAAGCAGAAGAAACGACGAGGCAGATATAGTCAGATGACTAACTTATGCTTGTCGGAAGCGGAGCAGCATGTGAATAAATAACGTCATCTCCGCAGTTGTATATGTTTTTTGTTATGGGGAAATGTTATTGCTGTGTATATGATTTTGCGACTTTCGTAGTGAAATCTGGACCGTCAAGTAATGTCATGACCTTTATGACGTTTTTAAATTTTATGTCGTTTGACTATGTTATCGTTTTAGCATGTTTTTGTCCGTTAATAGTTAATACCTTGTTTTACTTAATTGTCGTGTTAATTTTTTGTCGTTTAGATTTATCATGGTCACGCGCCGTTTTAGAACATTTTCATGTCGTTTGAATTCCTATTGGCCTTTTATGTATCTGTTGTGGTTTCGATGTTTGTTGTTCACATTCTTATTGTCATTTTCCAGTGGCCGTCTCTTCTGAATGTGCCGTCGTTTCACTATTACTGTAAATTTAACACGATGGCAAGAACGGGAAACGACAACAAAGAATTGGAGAACACTACTAAAATAAGACAAATATCATTTACAGTAAAGTTAAAACACAACAACAAAATAAGACAACCAACGAAAACACAATAGAAAAAGAAAAACCAAAAACATGTGTTATAAAAAGGGGCCAACGGCAATATTCAAAAGCACGTCTAAGAAGAAAAAATTGAAAACTGACCGGCAAATCGCCAATGCAAAGATTCGGCAAATGTTAAAGATAGATTATTCAGATGGTTTCTCATATCGCTAGCATCATTTACAGTGGCAAAAATTCGGAGGTCAATAAGCACCAAACCTCCTATGTTTGAGCTCATAAGTTAAAGTGAGTACATAAGTTTGATAGCAATACAAAGCTTGATAGAAGTCTTCTTTTGGTGGGGTCAACCTTTGGTGCCTTCTAATTCGTCCTTAACTTGATCGAATGCAGATAGCAATGTTGAACGCGTGTTGGCAATTTCTACAAGTTTCTCCAGTGCTACACAGGAACAAAAAAGTGAAACCAATCAATAAA